CCTTATTAAGTACACAATGTCATGTTTATTAACATGATTATTTTTATTTGCAAATCCACAATATGTAGATGCCTCCATAACAGAATAGTGCTCAATTGTGCTAGGCAGTGCACACTTACAGTGATAAAAATGGACTCAGCATCAAAGCGCCTGTAAGTTGCGAAAGGTCATATCACAAAGTCATAGCTTCACCTGATACTGTTCACTCTGTACATTGGTATTTGCTGCTGAGATCTCCCTATGTTTACAAATTATTACTTCTTTTGAATTAAGCAGAAAAGTTGATTCTGCACGCAGAATGCTGCTGAAACGTATTCTCTACTCCTCAGTTGTTTCATGGCTCAGTACTGCCGGGTGCTGCACTCTATCACAAAATCTTTAGTCTATTCCACTCCACTTAAAATTAGTGGAAATTGTTCAGTACCACGAAGGACCCCTTTCCCACAGGATAAAATTTTCCAATGTGTGTGACTAAAGCTAGAAATCAGATTGTTTATAGAACCTACTTCAATGCCTCATCCTGTACTACTGAAGTCAATGGGAGCTGTGTATCCAATGAACATTTAAATATATTCTCAATTCTGGAAGGGCTCTAATATAGTAATTAGATTTTCTACCTTTTTCTTACCCATGGGTGTGATGCGGTATGTGCCCCACACTCACCCTGCAGGATTTAATGCCGGCGATGGTCTAATTAATCAATTAGGCAGCAAGTTACAGCACTGGAAAGCACCAGTGTAAACCAGTCTACAGTTGCAGAAACATATTCTCTACACCTCAATGCTTACAGGGCTCAACAGCCATGCTCCTACTGCTGTTATCTACACCCCTCATGAAGGTAGTTTATAGAAAGCACTGGCTGGTGGATTTCTCTCCAAGCACCCATGCCATGGCCACACTTTCACTAAGCAACTTTAAACTGTAAACAAAGCCAGAGTTACTGTGTGGAAATGGCAGACAATAGGGCACTGGCCTCAAGTTAATCCCCAGAGTAACAGAAGGAGGCACCAGCCCAGTGGTGAATGGTGCATCTTGTCAGATACGGAAATACACGTTATTAAATTGTTTTCAATATATTTGAACTAGACTGAGTATGGATATGCAAATCACTTTTGCAATATTTGCAACTGTACTGCAGACAAACTGACAATGCATACTCTTCACATTTTCTGCAGTAGGCTTTCAATAAGAAAACTGTTTATCCTTGTGTAGGCACATGCATATCTTACTATGTTATATTCAAGTTTTCAAGGGTGAATACTAGCCTTATTAAAGGTTTATATGGGAGAAAGGTAGCCTTGGCTGTGTTCCTCAAGGAGAAGGTGAAGGATGACCCATGGATCCAAGCATATCTGAAGGGGAGTTACAGAAGTAACCCAGTGGAGCCAGGCAGTGGTGGGTAGATCATGAGATTGAATCTTGGTCAGCATGTTGTGGGCAGATTCCCACTGACCAAGTGGCAGACTGCTTCACTACTGATAGGGCCCTGGGTTGGGACGTGTGGCAATACTCCTCTTCCATAGGCCTGTGCTATGTAGCACAGTCCTTTACCTGGGCCCGTAGACTGGTGACCCCTTTCCTGAGAACTGAGGTGGGACTGGGGCTAGAGCCCTTATTGATTGCCATGCCCTACTTCGGGGCCAAGGAGCCTGACTATTATTGCCCTCATTTCAGATTGTCCTGCCGTGCTTGGAGGCCAGGGAACCCTAGCTCTTCTTGTTCCATCTGACTGCAAGGATAAGCCCTGAGTACTGAATGCCCTGCCCTGCTTGGAAGGGGAGGAGGCTAGTCCTTACCTCTTTGTGGATTGCTAATTCCCCCTGTTCTAGTGTAGACCCTGGAAAGCTGTAGTAAGGAGGTATGGCCTCCTCAGAGGCAGATACTGAAGAATGGTCCAGTATATTTACACTGTGAGATACAGATCTGACGGAAGTCAAAAAGCAAAGTTCCCATTTAAGGAAATTCAGCTTCAGGGACATATTGAGTACGGGTGCACAACATGCCATAATTTGGATTATTTTATATGTACCTCAGATATTTAATCTGGTATAAAAGTATGAAAGTTACATAAAACTCACCACTTCTTCATGGGTAGCACTTTCTACATTTATGCCATTAACCTAAAAATGAATATACCATAGAAAGAAAGTGATTTGTAACATATAAATAATGTAATAAACAGTAAAACATGCTTGAAACAAGTATGTGTGTGGAATAAATGTGTAATGTACTGACCTGTAGTAGTGCATCTCCTATAAATAACATTCCTGTTTGGTCAGCTGTGGGGGTTACAAAAGCAGTATGTTAAGTGAAAAACTTAAATAATGACACATCTTGCTTCAGCACTTGTTTAAACACACTGTTTGTAACAGTGCAACATTTGAAACCACTTCACTTGTAAAAATACTAGCTGCATTGTGAAAATACTAGTGGAATCATCCAGTAAAGCTAAACAGATTGATACCAATTTTAAGCAATTTGAAAGAGTTACTTTCCATGCACAAAAGTCTTATTTAATACGGAACACAAATGTCATTTCTCACTAATGAATTATTTCATTAAATTATGTGGAAAGTGTGATTCACATATTTCATTAGTCTTGCTGAGACAGGAAAATAGGAATTTTAGAAGCTACTTAGCATCTTTTTTTTTCTGGAACAAATTTACAGGGATTGGTATAATTAAAGAAGCTGTGCCTAGAATTTAATAAAGCTATTTAAGATGAAGTTTGAATCTGCTCTATTCAGAAGAATAAAACAGCATATTATTTCAACCAGTACTTTGCATATTTTCTACATCATGAAATCATCGAAATGGCAAACAAAAAAATCTGCTTCATAAGAACATAAGAATGGCCGTACTGGGTCAGACCAAAGGTCCATCTAGCCCAGTATCCTGTCTACTGACAGTGGCCAGCACCAGGTACCCCAGAGAGGGTTGACCGAAGACAATGATCAAGCGATTTGTCTCCTGCCATCCCTCTCCAGCCTCTGACAAACAGAGGCCAAGGACACCATTTTATCCCCTGGCTAATAGCCTTTTATGGACCTAACCTCCATGAAATTATCTAGCTTCTCTTTAAACTCTATTATAGTCCTAGCCTTCACCGCCTCCTCTGGCAAGGAGTTCCACAGGTTGACTACACGCTGTGTGAAGAAGAACTTTCTTTTATTAGTTTTAAACCTGCTACCCATTAATTTCATTTGGTGTCCTCTAGTTCTTCTATTATGGGAACTAATAAATAACTTTTCTTTATCAGCCCTCTCCACACCACTCATGATTTTATATACCTCTATCATATCCCCCCTCAGTCTCCTCTTTTCTAAGCTGAAAAGTCCCAGTCTCTTTAGCCTCTCCTCATATGGGACCCGTTCCAAACCCCTAATCATTTTAGTTGCCCTTTTCTGAACCCTTTCCAAGGCCAAAATATCTTTTTTGAAGTGAGGAGACCACATGTGTACACAGTATTCAAGATGTGGGCGTACCATACAAGGCTTCAAATGTGAATAGTCAGTTTCAAGAAGTGAATTTCACCTTCTTCTAAGGACATGACTTTTGAAAGTGCATGACTGTTCATGTCTTGATACTGAAAACACTGACATGGTTAATTTTAAGCACCAAGGCAGTCTCATTTGAAATTATTCATGTGCTTAAAGTTAAACACATATGTAATTAATTTCAGGATCAGGGTCTGAAAATTTTAAGGTTTTAAAAATATAACATCAAACTTAGTATTTGGGAGAGTGAGATGGAGGGAGGAAGGCTTAAGGCTACATTTTTGCTATACGGCTACAATCAGACCACATAGTACTTTCTCAGCTTCTGCCGTGTTGCACTGGACAATGAACAATGAAGCTTTGATTTAAAATAGTTTTAGTTTCTGAAGACATTGAAGTTATATCAGGGTTGAATTAAGTGCCATCCTTTTTGTTGAATGAAATAGGTACCCTTTCTTTATTAATTTAACTTTACTGATTTTTGTTAGTATTTAGACAACATTTCATTAATTATTCATTAATCTATTTTAAATGACAGCTTGTAGATTGTATTAATGTAAAGTAATTTTTGGGACTCTATCCAATTTTTTATTAAAAAAATCATATTGGTAATCTATAGTATATATAAAATGTGTCAGCCTGTAGCAAATGAAATGCAAACTAAAGAAAATAGAATAGACACATAGAATATGTATATGCTGCAGGTGGAACAGCACAAGTAGGCACATCCAGGTTACATCTAATCACACGGGCTCACTAAAAATAGCTGTGGTGGAACAGAGGTTAGCCACCTGCCTAGCTACCTATGGTCCCAGGTGGGACTGTACTCAGCTGGCTAGCCTCTGCCACCACCCATATCACCACAATGCTATTTTTAGCAAGTCTGGTCAAACAAATGGCTATACTGGGTCAGACCAAAAGTCCATCTAGCCGAATATTCTGTCTTTTGACAGTGGCTAAAGCCAGGTGCCCAAGAGGGAATGAACAGAACAGGTTAATCATCAAGTGGATCCATCCTCTGTGACACATTCCTGGCTTCTGGTCAATCAAAACCAACTCTGGTATGCCTGTTTTTGCTGCACATGCAGTTCCTGATAGCAATGGTTAGAAAAATGAGCATATACATCCACTGAGTGAACATCAAAATAAGACACTTTGTGCAAACTTCCTAGTGATATTGTTGAGACACCTTCTCTGGATTAAAATCAGTAAATGGCCTAAAATTTATAACCTAGTCCATGAGTTAAAATTATAAAAGGAAGACGGCTCTCCCAAGAATGTGGCATGCAGTGATGAGGCAGATTTTAAAGGACACACCACTTAGATGTCTAGACAACAGCCATTTTTCTAGTATGTAAGAGAAGACAAAACACACAATAATAGATTTTAATAGACCAAAAAAAAGTGAATGCATAAATTTGGAAGGCAGAAAGTACTGCCAAGTAATTATATTTTAAACTCATAATGGCATCGCCATGTCTAGACTTTCAGAGAAGGACATCTACAAGCTCTCTCACATAGATTCTAAAACAAATTGAGATAAAATAATCCTTCAAGGAACTACTCTTATGGTCAGTGGAAAAATTCCCTGGAAACTGACTTGAACTGAACAATTTATGAAAGAAAATAATTATAGAGAAATGATAAGGAACAGTGTAGAGGAATGCTTAGTGATTGCCTTAGGGCAAGGGTGGGTAACCTTTGTTTGGTTGAGGGCCACTGATCCACAAAAAAAGTCAGTTGGGGGCTGCACTAAAATAAAATAAAATAAATCCTCACTGATGTGGCGTGGCCCCTGACTGAGGAGAAAGCCACTCTCCATATTCGTCTTGCACATCAGAGCCTGAGGAGACCCAGGCTAGTAGATTTTGTGTACCCCAGCCCCAAAGGAAGATGGCAGAGGGGCTGTAACACTAATGTAGGCTCCCCAGTGTTGGGGGGAATCCCCAAGACTTGGGGACTGGATCCAGGCAAGCCAGGGTCTATATCCAGCCCCCAGACCTTAGGTTCCCCACATCTGCCTTGGGGATTAATATTAGACATGCTCTTATTCAACATCTTCATTAATTATCTGAAAGAGGAATAAACAGTAGACTACTTATTTTAATTGTTTAAACTAAATTGGAGGGGAAACTTCAGAGTAGTCCAAAGATTTAACTAGAAGTAATAGTACAAAATGAAGATAGTGTATTAGACTGTGAAAAACAAAAACACTCCTCTCTTCCAAGACAAGTGGTGGAAGGCCTGTCATCTCAGTATTTTAAAAATAAACAGACAATATATTATAGTGTGAGAAACTAGCCTTCATCAGATAAGGGATGGTCAGGAAGAACTAGTTCACTCTCTTTTATTTTGATTTTCCCATTCATTAGGACTATAGATATTGCATTTCCGTTAGTATACAAAGGCTAGCCATAAACTATAGAAGACCAGATTATTAAGAGAGTGAATGTTAAGTGGTTCAAGCACAAACTTCAGCACACCTATGCAAGTTCTGACTTGGGTCTTCATATTCCATGCACAAAGTTAGCATGCACAGACCAGAAGTTGAGTTAGTGCACATATTTTCAAAGCAACAAATGGTCTCGTAGCACTTTATAGATTAACAAAACATGCAGATGGTATCATGGGCTTTCATGGGCACAGCCCACTTCTTCAGATGACCAGAGTTTTGTGTTTAGGATGTGCAGACCCAAAATAAATAGGGGAGAAGGAAGGGGGGAGGGAGGAGGAAAAAAAAGGAAAGGGATGAGAAACAAGGAGCAGAGGGTATGAAAATATCAAAGGGAAAAACAAGTAGGCAGACCTTGCAATCTATAAACAACTGAAGATTGGATAGTTAAAAAGAAGCAGATAAGGATCAAAGTATAGCAATTAGATAGGAAGGGTACTTTAACCATTCAAAGGTTTACCACAATACATATTCTTGTCCATTTCTTGGAATATATGAACATATCTAATTTATTATGTTTAAATTGTATTTTGGGGATGTGAATTCTAACAGGCAAACAGAATAGAAGTACTATTAGGTCATGCATTACAATAACAGATTCCAAATCTACTTCATTTTCAAATAAAAATTTAGGAGATAAAATATACAAGCACATTAAGAAATATACAGGTATTTTTTAGTATGATTGACCATCATGGGGCTTATGAAACAGGTACTCTCGTTATCCTGAATGGTTAAAGCATGAGTTGCTGAAGTTTTCATATTTTAATCTAAAGGGGAGCAATTAACCACTTTTATCTTATATTAAGTTCAAAGTAGCACTGTTTCAGCCAGAACAGCAAAAACTGTGCCTTGCTAGTGTAAAAGTCTTGCTAGTTCATTAAAGCCAAATTCTATCAGATCATGTTAATTTTCACTCCATTTGTCCTGAGCAAACAATCCCTCCAAGTCTTTAATCTCTGTTCCTGGCAACAAGGTTTTCTTGGCTTGTCCTTGTCTCCTTCCTATTTACATATGAATCTTTTCTCCTATTCATCATTTACTGAAAAGCTGATCTCCCTCCCCCTAAAATGCACACACATTTCCCATATCATCATTTTAGAGTTTCTAGAAGGAACATTATTGAGCAAAATGTGTGATTATAGTTTTTAAATTTCTGGCAATTGAACTTACTAAAGAGGAATTAGAACACAATTTACAGGATTTGGTGCAACCGTCCATCACGGTAAAGAAAAATCTGCTATGGCTAGATAAATCCATTCCACATACGTTAAAAAGCCCAATCCCAAATGTGTCATGTACTCTTAGAAAAATAATGTGTAATCTTTTC